CCTTTTTTCCCCCTTTTTCTCTCTAGCTTGCATGGATGACAGAAAACATAGGATCCTTAACTTTCTGAGTCTGGCTTACTTTACTTAGCATAATGTTATTCTCCATTTCCATCAGTTTACTAGCAAATGACATATTTTCATTATTATTTATGTCTGAATAAAACCTCATTGTGTATATATGCCACACTTTCTTTATCCATTCATCTCTTGATGAATAGCCAAATTATTCTTAATGAATAATTTGGCTATTATGAATTATACAACTATAAACATAGATATGCTTATATCACTACAGTAGGCTGAATTTAATTCTTTTCAATAAATACTGAAGAGTAGTATAGATGGCTCATATGGTGGTTCCATTTCTAGTGTTTTGAGGAACCTCCATACTGATTTCCTTAGTGGCTGTACCAATTTACTACCCCACCATCAGTGAATAAGTGTTTTCCTTCACATCCTCACCAGCATTTATTATTATTTGCATTCTTTTTTATTTGGTTCATTTTGTTATATATAACAGTAAGATTCATTCTGACATAATTATAAAATGTTTATAATTTTATAACAAAATAAATATTTTGTTCTAATCCAGTCCCCAGACACTTCCCCCTTGTTATTTGTGTTTTTGATGATGACCATTCTGTGGTGAGATGAAATCTCACTGTACTTTTGATTTGCATTTCTCTTTTTTTTCATGTATTTCTTCTTTTGAGAAATGTCTTTTTATTTCATTTTCCCATATATTAATTTGTAGGTGTTTTTGTTTTGTTTTGTTTTGGGGTGTGCATGTGTGTGTGCACATGCTAAGTTCTTTAATTCTTTTTCAGGATATTAATCCACTGTCAGGAGAGTGGCTGGGAAAAAATTTCTCCCATTTCCTCCACTCTTTTTATGCTCTTAATTGTTTCTATTATTGCACTGAAGTTTTTAAATTTGACACCATTCCATTTATTAATTCTTTGTTTTCTTTCTTGAATTTCAGGATTCTTTTTGAGAAAGTCAGTGCTTGAACATTTATGTTGGAGTATCAATTCTATTGTGTTTTGTCTAGCAGTTATAGATTTTCTAGTCTGATTCCTAGGTCTTTGATCTACTTTCAGTTGACCTTTGTGCAGAGTTAGAGATAAGAATATAGTTTTATATCCAGTATTCCCAGCATCATTTGCTAAAAATACT